GGTACGCATACCAACCCCTACTCTACTGAAGCTCCCTCTTATCCTATTTGCAATATTATATTCACTTGTCTTTAATGCAGTATTTTTTACAAAAATTTATGAGATATTTATAATTATTTTTTAAAACATCCCTTATCTCTTCATGATGGCTTCCTCCATTCTCTTCCCATCGACCTACATTAATCAAAGGGTGATTGTGAAAAGTTGCAAGACATGTTAACACTCAAGTCTTTTTGGTTAACTTCATTAATCTTCCAGAAGCAGTCGTTCCTTGTAAAAAGTATTGAAGGGAATGTAATACAACAAATATTGCAATCACGTGTGGATTAATTAGGCAAGCAAACCAGACCAAAGTAATTCCAAAACACAAACACAAATACCTGGCAACACTTGAATTGAGTGAGGCGTCTACTAGAAAGATAGACGAATCCACAACCAACAGCATCGTCAAAGTAAAAACTTAAAATTGCGGCTAATATTCAGAGGTTCGCGATTATGGCGTGATGCTTTAATGTATTCCAAATGTTACACGAGAAAACAAATTATTTAAAAGTTCAAGCATGCAGACACGGTGGACTAATATATGGGTGGATGATTGAATGATGTCTGGTAACTTCAGCTTTTTCCCCATATTTTATTGATCGACTGGCTCAGATCAGCACCATCTGACTTACCTTCCACGCGTCGCTTTCTTGAGTGTTAGATGAATTGGGAGGATCAGATGGCTCGCAGTGCGCCCCGGACTTTTTAAAATCACGGGCCTATTTATTTCCAGCTATAAGGAAAGTGAGTGGTCGAGAAATCTGGTTAAAGCGGCATTTTGTATTTTCGGGTAACAAAAGTGACATCTATTTCTCACACCACTGCCGAGAAGGTGGGAGCATACAAGTTCGGATTTTTGTATTGTCATCTCTGCGCATGCCGCTTGAGGCAGCAGAAGAAAATTTCGTGCACGTGCTTTATGAGAAAAGGAAGATGGAAGGAATAAAACGCATAAACCAGTATAACAATAGTAATATTCAAAACATGCGACGTTACATTGGACATGACTGTCGAATCTTCCTCGAAAGGTATTTCTGGCAGGACTGCCTTGAGGTCTTAGATAAAAGCCAATTTTAATATTTTTTACAGCCTCCTGAATAACTGACTACTGGCCAAATTACCGTGGGTGCTTATCCGGTGGATTCATCTCCCAGTTTACTTGAAGCGTGGACTTCATGCTTTCCCTTCCTCTGTTCATTAGATGTCATGTCACGTGGTCAAAACGCCCATTTTTTTAATTATTCGTGCGGCCAAGTGATGCACAGGTCAACGGTTTTGAAATCCCATACCATGCGTCCAACTGTCCAAGTGACCAGGTCATGAGGCATCACGGGTCAATGGTCTGACCCAAGTATTGCGTCCGACTATTCAATTCAATCTCTGCTCCAAAACTAGTAATAAATAGCTGAACAAATTGCAACGCTATTGTGCTTTTGAGTCTTGTCTCCTCTCTGTCCCATACATGAGTATTCATCTGTGAACATTAAATATTTAATTATTTACTCGTCTCACTTTTGGTGGCGCAAGTCAGCCAGCAGACCAGGAAGAGTTTTGATTAATTTGCGAGCAAGGGGGAGGCATTGTTGTAAAAGAAATCAATAGCGCATGAAGGAAATTTTGAGTAAACAGTGGAACTGAAATTATAAAGTGACAGTGGTGGAAAAGCGAAAAAATGAAAAGAAATAGTCATACCATGAAAGAAATTAAAAAAGCGATGGATTTGGATTAGGTAGACGCAACAAATAAAGAAGGAAGCAGGTTAATAATGCTGAAATGATGGGCGGTTCGCCAGGTCATCCGACCCAACCATTGGGCAGATCCTTCAATGCTCCCGGGACCCGCACCTCAATAACGCATCGCCACGTACCACACACAATTTTACTGGCATGATTTTTAATACAATTATTTTTTCTCGCATTTCTCCAGCAACGCACTACGTAGTACTCGCACAGGGTTGCATAAAAAACTGAATTACATTGGACTTCAAATTTAACTTAAAATTTGATCCTTTCTATAACAAAAATTGATTTAGATAATTCATAATCTGACTTTGTTTAATAATAACTTAAAAATTAATAAAATTAAATTTTACTTATAGAATTAAGAGACTGATTTTATTAATCCAGTACTCACTTAATTTTTTTTCTATAAGAGATAATAATTCATTTTAATATAATTAATTTAATTAAAATAATAAAAATAATTATAATTATAATAAATTCATAATAATTTTTAACATAAAAAAAAATATTTCAGTTACAGAGCAAGTGATTTGAATTTATAATTTTAATAAAAATAACACTCAACAAACTTCAATAACACTACATTGCAATAATAATTTAAAAACAAACTCAATAAATGCTCATGCAAAAATCTTCTTAGCATCAATTATAGTTGAATCATTTATCAAAAATAAATTAAATATAATTATATTAAATAAATTAATAGAATCGGACTAGAGTAAGTAATCAAAATGTCTAATCTTCTGTCTAGTTCAAATTAAAAAAATAGTTTAATCTTTTCAATCTTAAAGGGTTAGTGTTTATATTAGACCGGACATAATTGAACTATTTTGAATTAAATTAGAGGATTTTTGTATAGTCCTATTAATTGCAACTAGCAAATTCCTCACAATTCATTTTTTTTTAAAAAAAAAAAGTCTAGTTTTTCTGCCCGGAGCACATTTACGAAGGTCTATCTAAGTAATAAAAATTTGAATCGGAGCCATTCGTAGACGTGGAGGCTGGATGGCCATCCCAGCTCACAGAAACGACAAAACATGATGTTCTCTCGCTGATCTTGATACAGCCCCGATTCATGGGGCATCCATTAAAATTTTGAATTTGTCCGTGGGGTCGCTGGATTAACAACGGCTGTAAACAAAAACAATGAATAGACTAATGAAGGCTTGGGTTTAGAAACTACTAAGCGCAAGTCATTTACGAAAACGTGTGGAAGTTGGTGCTGTCAGCGGATGCAGACGATGACATCCATGAAGGAATTGACGCCAGATTAGTTATTTTTAGAAACGGAAAAAAAGAAAGTAGGATATTGATTATAAAAGAAGTAAATTATACGAGGGTAAGTAACTGGAGATGTTAAAATATTAGGAAGAAAAAAAAGAAGAAGGAAGCGTGGGGTAGAAATAGCATGGCAGCGAAAGCAGGGTAGGAAGAAGAATAATTAGAGAGAGAGAGTGGAGGTGTCACATGGGGGGAGGAGAGTGAGGGAATTAGGTGGGAGTAACGTGCCACGTTTTGCAAGTTCTGGACCTTCTAGAACACCATCCCAGGGATAACGCGTGAATGTGACGTGGCACCATTTTTACAAATCAACAATCATATTAAGCTGGAAAGGTGAAGATAAGCTCGTATTTCCTAATATTTGATTAAATTTTTAATCTCTGTTAAAAAAACATAAAATATTTTTAATCAAATTTTAATTTTTAATAAAATAATTACTTACTTTTAAATAAATAATTTTTTATATTTATCTCTATTAAATAGTATATAATATTTTAAAAAAGCAAACAATAATCATATTTTAAAAAATTATACATTTTTTTAACTTCTAATTTTTTAAAAAATATTTTATATTTTTTAACAATATATTAAAAAAAAGGGGACAGGCAGCAGAGAAGAGGGAATTTATGAGAAAAGACGGGGCCAGTAGGTGTCCCATCTGACGTCACCCCGCATCTCCTCTCTACCTACCTAATCCCCCTTTTATGCTCTGTTCATGTTGCTCTTGCCCCTTCCACCCAATCCCTACGTTGCTAATTTAAATATATAGATATCCCAAATTTAAAGTCGTCCTAATTTTCAAGTTAAACGTATCCAGCTATTCTTTTATCTTAAATTCTCCGCCCTTTGTCTTAGCCCATACTTCATTTGTTTATACTTTATACCATACAAAAATAATCATCCTGGCGAAGATGTTTATTTTGTTTTCTTGTGAGTTAGAAAAAAGATAGGGCGTGGTTGCTAACATTCTGCTCCACCACACGACGTGGGCCACATCTATGTATTCCGTTATTGTCCAGTAGTCGCCCGTGTCTTACCATGTAATTCCATTTCCATTTTTAGGATAAGTTTTATGGATCCATCGCTAATTCACGATTCCCACTCTTTCCCCCCACAGTGAATTCCTGCGCCCACAAGAAAATAACAACATCATCCAGATAATTATATTCTCTCAAACACGTGTACTTCAATTTATTCGCGTCTCCTGTCATTGAAAGGCGTATGATTCACTAGCGTTAATTTCTGAGATGATGATAAATAAAAGGTGTGATCTGACGGTAATCCATCCACTTTTTCTGTGAAGGTGAAACTAGTTCTCAGGAACCGATACCTCTTTTTTATTATTTTAACGTGACTGGGCAGAGTTAAACCAAAAAGTGTCCGGTCTCTAGTGGTAGGTAGAGAACAGAACCACAAATATTTATCGTAATAAATTAACGTGCATCAAGAAAGGCCGGAGCGAGCGCCAGAGTAGAATATATAAACAATAAACCTGTTCACCAATTTCTACTTTACTCGTTTTGTTGCGGTGACACCGGTAAATGGCAGCTCTGCACTATGCACTAGAATTCCGTCTCTCGGGGATTTAGGGCTTCAATTTATTTTCGCAACGCCACTGCCTATATTGTTCGCCGAGCAACTATCCAACCATTGTAATTTCACCAAATACTTTTAAATGTATCCAACAACCAGTACGGCCCCTCCCATCAACATACCATCACGTACAATGCCCCATTTTCAAATTTCGTCCTTCGAGATTGCTTATTTTTAACTTCACAAGATGGAGAGTAGATTAGATGGGATTTAGTTTAAGATGAGAAAGAATGCAGGTGTTCATATTCCGAATGTCGTCAATGCTAGTCGCGGAGAGTTTTGGTTTGATGGAAAGGAACTAATTGTTCAACTTGAACGCAGAAACAAGCGGCAAAAGTTGAGTGAGAAAGAATATATCAAATGTATGAAACCAAAATTATCTGAGAATTCCTAACCTTGCGAATGTAGGAATCCTGCAGCATCTATTTTAATTCCTTGATGCTAACAAGTAATAACCGCAACATTACAAAGTAAGCGTTGAGATTAGTACCGAATGATTCCTAATTAATTAAAGCTTTTCTAAATATTCATGGGTGTGTAAAATCTATACATATCGGTCGCGTTTTCTGTAACGGCAGGAGGGTTAGCAGTAGTAGTAACAGCAGATGCACCCATGGCTAATTTGCAGCTACATGCTTGATCCTTAGTTTGAAACCCTAGTCCATAACACAAACACACGCCTTGACTAGAACTACTGAAGTTGCCATACCAGTGGTACAAGACTTGTTGGTCTGGCCGAGGCTGGTCTCGTGCTTGTCGTTTAAACTTGTCCCGGTTCCCAGGAGAAGGCTGATCAGAGGGAAGGCCTATGGTGAGCTCCAAGTTGAGCTGCGCACGCGCACAGGCGGCTTCTTCTGTGGTGAGCCCACTGCTGCTGTTCGAGTCTTCGCAGGCCGATTCAGTTTTTACGATCTTCGTAGCATTATTGTTGTTGTTGGCGCTGCCCAGCTCGGTCGTCGCTAACTGAAATTTGCTGTTATTGTCATCACTGCCATCACTGTTGCTTCTGATGACCGCGACAGTATCTGCCGCGGGGGTGGCGGTGGGGTTGACAGCGGCGTTGAGCGGCCGATGCGTTTGAGGGTCGATTCCGCGGCTATAAAGTTTCCGCTTGATATGTGTGTTCCAGTAGTTCTTGATCTCATTGTCGGTTCTCCCCGGTAACCTGGCGGCGATCAGAGACCATCTGAGGAATCACGACGAGAATCATAGTTTAGAAAACGAGAGGAAGGGAATCGCAGAAAGGGGAGAGATTGGAAGGGGGAGAAATAATGAAAGGGAGATAAAAGGAAGGATGATTGGATGAAGTTAGAGGCAGACTTGTTGCCGAGGAGGCTGTGGAGGTTAATGATGAGCTCGTCTTCTTCTTCAGTGAAATTGCCTCTCTTGAGATCAGGCCTGAGATAGTTAATCCACCTGAGCCTGCAACTCTTGCCACATCGAAGCAAACCTGGGCGCACACGCACGCACGCACACATAGAGAGAGAGAGAGAGAGCGTGAAAACCCACGAAGGAGATGGGGAGGCGCATTTGATATAGAGATTAAGGAGGCAGAGGGGAGAGAGAGAGGTACCAGCAGCTTTGGGGAGAGATCTCCAGCAGCCCTCACCATGGAGCTTGATGTAGTTGATGAGACGCTGGTCTTCCTCCTTGGTCCAGGCTCCCTTGTTGGTGTGCTCTTTCTCGCAGCAAGGAGATCTGCCCATGGATGGAGGTGGGGAGGGGAGAGGGAGATGAGTGAGGTGAGGAAGGTGGGATAGGAGAGGAGGGAGGGAAGGAGGAGGAATATAAAAGGGAGGTAGAGAGGAGGAAGAGGAGCAAAATGCAATTGACTCGGGGGGTCCTGCTTTTTCTGTACAAGAGAGAGAGTGTTTGACCGAGTTGGTGAGAATTATGAGTGGTTCCTGTTAACTTTGTGGTTAGTGCTGGATTTGGTAGGTAGCCCTTGCTCCCCCTGCTTTTCTTCCTCTTTTCACAACTCTTGCCCCCTTCATTTATCCCCCCACCCCTCCGGGGCGGGTCCCCATGGTATACCTTGCAATAGAAATGAATGAAATATTGGTATTAATTGAGCTTCCTGCAAAATATTTATGGGGTGTGATACTCACTGTTATCCTATATTTATGTGGACCATAGACCATTTACATTTGGGCCAAATTGCATTGCCATTGGCGGAGTTTGACTCTTGTTTCGTTAAGACAATGAATCATCACCCGGGGATTCGTTGAGCGTGACCTCACAACGATAAACAGCCCGGAAATTGCAAGACATGGGGAAATTCGAATCCTGTTTTAAAACTACAAGAATTTATTAATCCCCTTTGTTTTTTTTTTTAAATGCTGACAGCCAAAAATACTACGCCTCTCAATCATCTCTGCAATCGGGGACGCTTTTAATATGTATCATGCATATTAAAAAAAAAACCACGAAAAATTGACCTTTTCTCAAAGAAAAATTTCCTTGTCCACAACTAATACTAACAATTTGACATGTGTCAGCTCACGTTAACTAGTACAAGAATAGAAGTGGAAAGATATTTTCAAGAACTATAAAACATGTTTCATGTCATGGACTGGTAATAACCAATAGAAGATATCTTATATTGTCAGTGAGAGAGAAAAGTAATTTATTTATTTACAATTTACCACGGGCTGGACTCGGTTATCATAATAAGTGACAAAAAATTACAGAAAAATGCATTTGTCATTTATTTCAGTTTTTTTTTTTTTAAGATTTATAGGTTCGCATCAGCACATGCGTGAGCGGTGAGCCATACATTTCATGACTAATAAATTAGTAATAATAATAAGTCACTATTTTACAAGGCTGAATTTCGGAAACTTTTAATCTCGAAACAGTTTCAATTATTAAAGAGTGGTTAGACTTTCAGAAATACTAATTATTACGTCCCTTTTTCTTATACCATTGAAATCCTTCCAGACCTTACATTTTGACCAGACGTCGAAAATTCAGAAGCACCAATGGCAAGTTTTTCGATGCCTTCCGAAGCCAGCATAGAAGCAGATCGAAGGATTTTGTCCTCACGTTTACCAGCAAGTTACAAGGTTATTGTCTCAGAATTTATTCCGCGGAGACGAAAATGAGAGGAAGAGAATAGAAATGAAGATCTAGCCTAACCTCACCGCGGTTTCCTCTCTATGATACTGTCTACGATCAAATTTTAATGGTAAAAATCAATCTACATCACTGGAAACTATTAAATATAAATTGTCAAATCAAATCGGATGGTCAGATTAGCTGTAGTATCTCCAATGTGTGGAGTGTATTTGAGCTGGGACACGTCAGGGTGGTTTACGAAAAGTTGCAACTAGAGGGGGGTGGGCGTGTGTGATTTTGGCAAGAAATTATGGACAGTGGAAGGAGGAAGTGGGTAAAAAGAGGGAAAGAGCAAGGTGCTGAGATGAAGTTAGGAGAGTGACGAAATAGAGGGTATGATTGAAGACCCCACCAGAAGCGCAAATAAAAGCTTTTGTAATTAGTATTACATGCCCAGTCTCCACCACCAAACATTTTTGTTGGGCACACTCCCAAAAACTCATTACTCTCTTCCCCTTTTTCAAAGCGTTATAACTAGTGCAGTAGTAAGCATTTGATTTGCTGTGTCTGTATGCTCAACAAAGAAAAGCGTTTCTAGAAGCAGTGCCCCCAACTCACTCCACTCACTCTTGTCAATTCAGGATCCATATCAGTAACTAACTTCCCCTACCCTCCATTATTCAGATTTAATGCCTCTTTTCACCCCATTTCACACCCACCGTCCCAAAATACTCTCTCCACTCACTCCAATATAATATTCACATCCACATCTTCTCCTTCATGTCAATCTCATAAATTCACTCTCTAAACCATCTACAGCTCCCCAAGACCGGCCCCCTTTTCATTCTCACGTATGTGCATTCCAGTAATGTATAAAAACAGAATCTTGTGGCCTCGACTTTCAAGCCGGGACGTGTTCTGTCCTGTGCTCTCTCTGTCTCTGCCTCCAAACAAAAAGGCTATTTAGATGCAACTTTTTAGGTGGCCCATTGCCATCATGATTCATGCATCGCATGAGTTCTAGGGTTAGTGTCAGTTAATAACGTTTTCCAGATATGGCCCTGATAGTGTGAGCTCGCTATCAAAATCTCAATGATATGTGTGAGTGCGCGGCGCGTGCGATGTTCGCTACTTTTATTGGTCACTTTCAGAGTTCAACCAACCTCCTGTTGCATCCAACACTGCTGAGCAACAGGAGAAAGAGAGAGAGAATGAGCCTGCTGGCCATGTGAAATATTTTATTTGGAATGAACATGGTTGGTACGCCTCACCCTCCTACCTTGGTTTTTTATTTGGGCTTCTAGAAGCAGAGGAAGAGGAACAGATTTAAATTGAAGAATCTGTGAGGTTGGTGACCCACCTCCTTGTGTGGATACCTCATCTATTGAAATTGAGTGGGTTCTTCTTCTCATGCCCACTCACTCCCTCACTCACTCACTCTCTTTGCTTTTTCATTGTTTTAATCTTATAGTTGGCATATCTTATCTTGGAGCATTTTTGACTGTGACCATATGAGGACCCTCGTTATTTATCCTACTTATATATGGCTCCCACTTGAAGATTAGATGATATCTGGGAACACCCAAAAAAGTGAACCAACCAATCCACCCGTAACTGTTCATAGTCATGTGGGCATATATTCCCGATTTATATTTCTATTAATTACAAACCCGCACATTATTTCTGTGTAGACAAATGTTAATCCTCGTTTGACGAACAATCCAGGCATTATTACTTTTTAATTAATAATAATTCCTTGATCAGTGAACGAAAGGTCGGGACGAGACGTGCCGAATCAGATCCGACCTGAACCGATAAAATGCAGGGGCATACACTCACCCCCCAAAAAGATGGACAGGGATGCATGCATGGTGGGCCTGGATAATGATATTTAAATTATATCTGGACAGAGACAGTTTAGCTTAAACTCGGGCAGGTAGATGATGATAGTTATAAAATCATGTATGATATGTTGAATTTTGTCTCGTCCTGGAGGCTTGATATAGCTTTTACAGCAAGTCCATGTCCCTGTAGACCGGGGTCACCCTAGAAGCAGGGGACTTTCTGTGTGTCGACCAACTTACTCGTACCTAATAAAGTTGGATTGAATTTTATAAACCAGAGGACGGCTCCTTTTAAGACGTCCCCGTCTTCTTCGATTTCGCATATGCTTCAAATCAGTATTAAATACACTAACCAATGCCAAAGCATTACTTTGTATTTAGGCCATTACGGGTAGATGGAAAAAGCCTTGCCTATAGACCAGGCCACCTTTGCGTTTCGCGGGGATGCGAAGGCCCGATATTGATCCATTGGTGTTCAAATCTGTATATCTATTACTGTTTACATAACTATGATTAGACTACATGTTTTGACAAAATACAAAAAATCACTAGACACTATATAACCTCCATGAAGTTTGAGTTGTATGCTGCCACGAGGATAACCCTCGTATGTAATGTTTGGGATTTGTTTTTTTTTTTTTAAGATGGAATGGCATGGGATGAGATGAGATGGCTGAAAAGCCTTACAGGTTTGAGAAACATTTTTAAAAAAGAATAGAAAGGCTTTGGTAGCTTTTCAAACCATTCTTGACCACCCTAAATTTTTTTTTTTTATGATACGAGTAATATTTTTACAAAATTACATTTATCCCTCTCACCCCCTCCCACTCTTTCACTCCCCCTTTCTCAAAACTAAAAAATATAATTATATCTAACTCAAATTTATTAATTTTATAATTATTCTTAAATGATAGTTAAATAAAATTATTTATTTTCTTGATGAAACTCTCAAACAATGGAATGTTTTTGTTCTTTTTCACTCCTTTCCATTTCACCACATTTTATTTTATTAATGATTATTCTTTTTGGTTTCATTATATACTTTCAAACTTACCTTTAGAGTTTTATTATAAAATATTTTAAGTTTTTACATTTATGCAGATAAATCTGTTGCTGTTAATTAGTCCATTATTTTAGTAAAATAATATGGTGTGATATGGAATTCATTTATATGTGACATAGTTCAATAAATAAACAAGTGAAGCTTAACAAAGGAGCAGTTAATCAATAACATATTATACATGGTTAGTTAAATAATAAGATAATTGACTTATTTTGCAAAAATTTAAAACTTCAAGGGTCGTTTGTTAAGTTTTAAAAATGGAGTGAGTTGTATAGAAATATATCAAGAGAATTTTTGCATAATTTAATTTAGCCAAAAGAGCTTTCTTAAGACGGATCAAGATCCTCTCCATATATTCTCTCCGTACCTCTCTCCCTATGTGATCTCCGTCGTCCATCCACTATTACCTTGAGCCAACGGTTCCGCTTTGCTAAGTCAAATATTTAATCCGCGTGTTGCATTTCCCTAATTTGCTCCAAGTACTGGCCAAAAGGAAAAAAAATTCACGCGGAGGAGGAATTTCACTCAGATCTTACCAAAACTCCATTATTAGACTACGAAAATACTTATTTCTTCCCTTCTAAATCTGCGTAGCAACCTTTTAAATGATGACTCTCTATCTTATATTACTATTAATATATTTTTTATTATATTTTGAGAGTCATCAATTAAAAAAATATTTTTTTATTTTTATAAAGAAAAATTAACTAAGTGTCTCGTATGAATTTATTATAATATTTTAAAAAAAATTTTGAAATGATAAAAATTAAAATAAGTAAACATTTTATTCATATTTATTAATTATAAACAGGTGGGGTATGACACATCAAAGCAAGAAAGAGAAAAGAGATAAGAAAAATGTGCTTTTCAATTCAAAATACAAAAGAAAAAGTTCCTGGACATTGTTGAAATTTTTAGAATCGCTCACGGGTGTCATGGCACCACTAAAGGAGTACTATAGCACCAAACGAAAATGCAAAAACGCATAGGTTCATTTTATGTGCGAAATTAACTTACATAACTTATTTTTTTGAACCAAAGGAGGCACCTTTCAGCTGTTGCAATTTGAGGAGAAGCCTTGAAGCTTTGGGTCAAGAAGAAGTAGAGCAAATCTTCATTCTAACTCATTTTCTCTCCTTCTTTTCCTTTAAGTTATGTATAGCTAAATTTTCTTGTTCTAAAGGACTAGGTACTTATTTGTGTAAATAACCTTGGATATATCATTTAGTTGTTGAGAAATGAAGTTTTGATTACTTGTTCTCGAGCTATATTGTTCTTGTTTAGTGATTAGCCACCATTAGATGAGATTTGGGCACTTTGATTGAATATTGAAAGAGGAGATTCAAATTTAACCTTGAGAACTAGTAGTCTTTGATTAGTTTAGCTAATTTGTCATTAGAATAAGAATGTATCTAATGGACCTAAGTAATCCTCATAGGTTAGAATTTCCAATGCAATCAATTAATTAAAGTAATAATTTGCTTTAATTAAATTAATTAGAATTATTAGTAATTAGAAGATACTTTTGATTAATTTAGATTATCAGATTATTAAAACTAAATTTTAATACAATTAATATGGTAGTAAGAGGGTTAGGAAGCAATTAAGAGATTAGGATTTAAGACTCTAAAACACTCTTTTTTAGTTGACTTTAATTGTTTGTGAATTGAAAGTTATTTTAATTGATTACTTTTAATATTTTTATTTTAATCATTCTAAAATTAATCTCTTATTTTATTAGTTTAACGTTAACAAATTTAAAAGTTTAATGCTTAACTATCATTTTAATTAATTTATTCAGAAATTGACTTTAATTTATCACTAATTTCAATTGTAATCTGTACATTTATAATGTCTTTTAATTTTGTGCTGGCATCATCAAACTACGCAAAAGGAGAACCATTCAAGAAGAAGTGAAAAACAGTGCGTACAGGGAAAGGATTGTCAGCAGAGTATATTCAATATCACAATATTTAATATTAATATATTTTTATTTATAAAAATATTATTATTTTATACTTATTTTTTTATAAGTAAAATTATATATTTTAATAAATATTTATTATATATTTTTTAAATCACCCCTCATAATTTATATTAACGAGAAATAGAAATAATTAATGTATGCTTATGTTATACACATAGTACATTTCAATTTATTTTTTTTATTTTTAAACATAATTATTATGGTTAATTATTTTTTTAAATTATATAATATTTTTTTTTCAATACAAGAAAACGAAGGGAGTATCTAAGAGATGGATGCTGTGCTTCTATTGAAGAAGTTAGAAGATGATAGGTGCCGTGGTCTTGGAACTGTTGGGAACCGCATCTTCTCTTCATCGCAGAAGCGAGTCGAACGTGCGAATTAAATATTTGCCTCGGCAAAGTGAGAACCTTTGGATCAAGGTACTCATATATGGACGGCAGCGATCACGTAGGGAGAGAGGTATGGAGAGAATGTATGGAGAGGATATGGATCCTTCTTTAAGACAACAGAATCAGTATCGGTAAAAAGATAAGCGGCAGCTTCGTCTGACATTGAAGGCAGACAAATGCAGAAGCGGCAGGGTGGGCAAAACACAATCCCACAACTGGGAGAGCACGGGGATGAAATTCCAGAAAGCGTCAAGCAGCTATTACAGAAAGAAGGAGAAGACTTTATTTCATGAAACTAAAAGGCACGACGACAACGCCAACCTGCTGAAAGTACACCAAGTGCAAGCATATATCAACAAGCTTTGGTGCAAAAGCAACGGTGACGTAAACCGCGGCACTTGCCACCGGTGAAGCCCTCGACGAGGCACACCGATGCACAGTTATGGTCTCTAACACACATTCCTTTGAACCGATGGCTCTTTGACTCGCAGTGCCTCGCCTCCACCGTCCCCTCTGCATGCATTCATTCAGTTTACAGCAGAATAAGTACATATTAATTATATTATTAAACCCCACATTTCGATCAAAATCTATATACGTTCACAGTCATAATATATGGAACTCCAGAGAGGCTTACGAGAAGCAAGGAGAATAAGCAGCAAGAAGAAAAGCCCCGCGAATCGTCCCTTGTCCGTCATCACCAGCGAACACTGAGATTTATGGGAGGTGTACTGGATCTGTGTGTGTGTCGGTGAGTGGGTTATCATCCAGTATTTATAGCCCAAAAGAGGATGAACGAGATAGATATTATATAATGGAACCATATACAATCGAGAGCTTTCAAGTTATGAAGAACATTGGAATTTGCAGCAAGGTCGGTGAGACAAAATGAATGTGTGTTCACATGCAAGCGCGACACCTGGTATAAATGGTGAACTCACCAACCGAATATGTTTTCAATTATCCATAGGGAAGAGCACGTAGATGCTGGTTCCAGAGCTAACGGACAGACACAGAGCTTAGTTTACGAGTGATGAAGTTAAAGAAGGAAAGGATTATAACAGGAATAGTGTTTTATTATAAGGTTATCAGAGCACTAGAATGGGAAAGTGTGAGGAGAGTTTGGGACGGTGATGAGGCTGTCTCGAAATTTGATTACCCCAGTTATTTACTTGTTTTACATGGCCCAAGGGGAGGGACGTGGCTTCACACTTGAGATTTGGTAGGCCTGGCCCTGCATTCTTGTTCCTGGGACCCCAAATAATCCTTGTCTTTTGAAGAATCCTACGTTGCACTGCAGTGATTTTTTAAAAACTTTAGCCAGCATTTAATTTCCATTTAGATTAGTTAACGGCACAAGTGACTGCAAATCTCTGGCTTGCTAAATTAATAACTTCTGACAAATGCTCTGTATACGTTGCTCCTCTTTTGTCTCTCAGATATTAATAAATGCATCATTCCGCTTCTTCTCTCGGAAAAAAAAAATCAAATAACTAGTAATTATATTTTGGTAAAAAAAAACTAGTAATTATATTAATTTTCACCATCATATATACCGTCACATATCTGTTTTTGATTTATATAATTAAAACAATCAAGTTTACAAAAATGAGATAGATTGCATTTATAATACTAATTAATATAAGTAACAGCATACTTACGTTTTTAAAAAGCTAAGTTTGAATTGAAAAATCAGGTTGCTTTTATGAAATACTCCTTCAGTTAAAAAATATAAAGTATTTTTAACCTAATCTCATCCCCTAATAAAATAATTATATGTTTTTAAAGTAACACAATCTTTTTTTATTTATTTTTATTTAATAAATCATTTTATTTTAAAATAAACATGAAGTAATTTGTTTATCAGGGATAGTTTTAAAAAATATCTTATATTTTTTAACTTCTAACCTTTCAAAAAATGTATTTTTTAAATGGGAGAGTATTTTATAAATTATAATTAAATGAACCATTAATAATTTATTCCCTCTAGTTTTATTTTGGTTACTATTCAATCCTTCAAGTTGTAATAATTTAAAATAAATCAGTCCCATGACGAATCATAAAGTACAAAGATCAACAAATTAGATGAGTAAAATCTGAGATACGGAGTGATGCAAAATCAAACAAGAAGATAGAGTGACTCAAACCATAGCTTGGTATGGCATTCACGTGGGCTGGACGTGCTTGCTGGATAGCTGTTTCCTTGTTTATATCCGGTTTGATTCTGTTGGGCTCAAACTCTACGGGGAAGAATCGCCATACAGGCACATTAAAATACTAAAATTACATTGGCCCTTGTGATTTTTGTTAATTAAAATCAAGCTCCTCCCCTTTTCGAGAATCAAGACTTGTGGCTGGCCGGAGTCCTCCCTCGTGGTACACGCTTAATCGGACATTTTGTTTATTGAACTGGAATATTGCCTTTCAGGAAAAAAGAAGCTTTAGATACATTTTCATCAATCAAATACATTATTATTATTATATCATAAAGAGTAGTCATTTTTCCTTTGTCTTTGAGCAATTGTAAACGTAAACACGCTCCCCCTTTCAAATTAAAAAAATGTAGCCACACAATGATATTATTTTATTGTAACTTTTTAACTTGGAAGCACATATACTCCCTAATTTTAGGGGGGAAATTAAGTTATCCTGCTAATTTAAAAATAAAAAATACCATGTAATTTTATTCCTGTATCTCATTCTTTTTTGTCATCTTCTATCATGATGCGTTTAAAATTTAATATTAAATTTAAAAATTACTTGACTTTGTTTTCTCCAAAAAGCTCATTCCGTTTTTTTTTTTTCGTTTTTAATGAGCGTTTTCAATTTATGAGACCAAATTAAAAAAAGGGGTAAAACTAGAGGAACCAAAAAAGCGCATTTAAGTCGTGTTGGTGGCAGCATATTATATTGTGCTATCAACCCATATTCCCTGAAGAAAATTTTTGTTTTGCTGGAAATTGTAAATCCTGTTTGAACGAATCTTGTTTCACCAGAGCTTGACTCTTTTATGGTACTCGACCAGGGAGTGTTTGCAGTTACTATATCCTTAAAGCTAAATGTTAAAAAATTAAAATTAAAAACCCAACAGGAGGGCGTAAGACAGGTAGCACGCAGACGTTGTCGCAAATCCATGAGGAGAGAATGAAGTACAATAAGAAAGTACTTAAGACGTTATGACCACATGATGATGCTTCTGAATATACATTCCGCTCTCAACACCAACACGTACAACTTGTCATTATCACTTTCTTACGGTAGCTAACGTGGATCCCTTATGAAAACGATAACAAACATCAGCACGATCATATCTTTATTTGGTATTGGGGGTAGTTTAGATTCAACAAAGCTTAGTGCAGAAACAGCGGCGATGGAACCCTCGGCACCGCCCGCCGGAGAATCCCTCGTTCCTGCACACCAACGCACAGTTGTGGCTACGCATGCATGTTCCTTTGAACCCGTGGCTCTGCGACTCGCACATCCTCCCCTCTGCTGTCTGCACCGCCATTTCTGCTCTCAACCAAAATATATGCGCATATATTATCATTCATCACTTACATATAATGACCAAAAACAACGAGCACCACACATACATACATACATACATACAAATATATAGAATCTTACCAGAAGCTAGGACTATGAAGAGCAGGAGCAAGAGCCCAAATGATTTCCTCTTCATCTTTTGCAGTTAGCTAAAAATTGATGAGTAATATTTTAGAGAAACAGAATTTTACTTATGAGTTATGAGCTGAACTGTGTAAGATGGAAATGTGTGATGCTCTGATATATATATATATATATATATTGCGAGTTTGAAGCAGATAGTAAAGAAGGCATCTGGTCACGTGAAAACGCGACAGGTGCAGCGAGGCCCGTGACCACATATGTATGTTTTCAGATGAAGCAATCTGAGGTTTTGGGGTTTTCTGGAGCAGATGGGATTTGGGTAAGGATCCAACTTCGAGTTTCACGTGGTTTGATTATTTCGAGGTATGAAAGGTTGGATGACGGTGCTCAAATTTATGAAAAACTTATTATTTTTTGTTTTTATAAGAGTACACCAATGTTGAGCCTGAGCTCTCCCTGCATGCATTTGATCGATCTTCAGTGACACGGAAGATGTAAAGGAATCCAATTTTCCAGACCTTTGTTGACAGCGATTCAGAGGTCACATGCAAGCCTGCAGCTGCCCTCTCTCCGTTCACACAGGACAGGTCTCTGTAAGCTGTAATGTATTGTTATTTGTGCTATGTAATGGTGAGAGGTAATTCCCAATAACACTAGGTATTTGTTGCCATTATATATGCTAGCTTTCCAGTTTGTTTCTTCTGATCTTATTGATCTCTTCGACTTCACACTTGGTTTTTCTATCATTTCTTTCTTTTATTTTTTTGTATAAACTTTTTCTATCATATTTCTGTATGCTTGTAAAAAGAGAAGGGAAATCAATTTTTAAGTCAGTCATCATAGTTTAAATTTTGCTCAAAATGATTCCCAGCCCCATGCATACACATAGCTAGCTAGTTTCCCCTCCATTTCAGAGTTAGTCCTCACACTTCAGAAAAGTTAAAATTGTAGTCCCTGTGATGTCAATTTTGTGCTGACATGGCAAATGGAAGCCATTTACGGGCTCGGTTTGGTAGTCTTTTTCTTGTTTTAGTGCTGCGGCGAAATTAAAGGAGTTCATGAAAAGCATATATTGACGTGACTCAGCTGTCGGCACTGTACAAGCATGAATGGTCCAACTAGAATACATGTTCATTTTTAGCCACAGTAGTGTTAAAGCCATGTGTCAATCTTTGAAGAGGGACTCCGAACGCGACATCTCATCAAAAATGAATCATCAGGACCAATGAGATGAGGACAAGAGACGGGGACGAAATAGCTGCAGCACCAACAAAATGCACTCGTTGGCTTGCAATATTTAGCCACAACTCGAAATACTGTCTAGTGTTTAGACTTTAGATACACCACCCACTAGGTTACGTTACAGGACTATTTCGGAGGAAAGGGGGGGTGTATGTTAACATAGAACAGTGGCTCTTCATTTTTGAAACACGTGTGAAGCTCTAAAGGTGTTCTATGTGAATAATGAGCTCTCCGAAATCTTGCCATTAAATTGAACAAAACTTCACATGATATCATGATTCTTCCACCAACTGGTCTCGCTAGTTTCTTGGCTCTCTCTCTTTCTCGTAAGAACAAGGAAATAACAAGATTGCTTCTCATTGCTCATCATTCTCTCTCTCATCTCTTGTCAAGACGACAGGGAAGGAGAAGGAGGAATGAGAAATGAAAAAAGAGACTGACATCGGATTGCATGTCAGCCACATCAGCTTGCAGTTTGACACCTCATCATAAAGTTATGCCTTGCGGACATGACGACGACTAACATTTTAACATTTGAAAATCATTGGGACCAGCAGTCAAATCATCTTGGAAAATATAAGGATGAGTTTGAGAAAATAAAGTGACGACTAATTTCAAAATTGAGTGTAGCTGTGCAGAGATGAGAGGAAACACCAATGTGCCACTTGCATTTTGAACAGGTGTAACCTACAGAGTCTGGAGAGTAAGATTGCAATTTGTAAAAGGATGCGGTTTCTGTGTCAAATCCGTGAGAGTATGATTGCAAGGGAATTGATTAAAAGGACTGAGTGCCCCACGCCCTCCTTAGTTTGCGCTGTCCTTTCTGTTCCAAATGATTGTTATTGATTGGAGTTTTTGGTGTTAGATGCAACACTCGACATTGAGAACTCCTTGAACGAGCAAAAATACTTGTTTTATGTTTTTGTGATTGTGAGGATCACCTTTTAGATATAGGATATGGGGCATTGTAGGGATGATGATCAAGGAAGTGAGTCACTGAAAAGAAAGAAAGCGGGTGAGCCAACGGCAGTAAAGTAATGTCAAATTGGCAGCAAAAGTCTGGAAATGTTGAAGAAAGAAGACACCTCACTATACACAGCTGGGTTGCTTTACGTATCTGGGAACAGCTAAGGTCTCCCTTTACACAGCTTTGCCAGATTATTAGCTACCATTCCTCATCATGAAATGATACTCAACTCAGAATGAACTAGAATTCTTTATAAAATAATCATTAGCTTCCCCCCATGTGTGCATTTCTTACACCTCCCACTTGTGTTCTTTATTTTTAATTTTTTGGGTTGGTTTTGATGCAAGAACAGAACTGTAATGTGTTCTTTAGGAGCTGCATGCGTGCTTGTGCTATGAATGGAAGTGATACCAAATGGTGGACGCCTTTACCTAACTCAATAATGCAACAAGGAACAGCTCGCTGGTGTAAATGATGAAGGTGGGACTTTGATGCCTTAAAAGTCGCAAAAGTCCGTTTGAAAAACTAAATACTCTATTCATAAAAGCAATTTTTAAGCCCGCAGACACAGACACTAATCGCCTGTCTGAGGGCTTTATTGATGATGATATTCGGTGCCAAAAGCAACCCTTTCAATATGTCGTGGGTCCATCCTTGTCTTACCCTTCCACATGGGCTATCTTCTGCTACATGTCTCAGTCAAATGCGAATCCTTCACTCTTCATTAAGCATTTGGTCTTTATTATAATTTGCATTCATTTCCCTTGATAGATTTCATGGGGAAAAAATGTTATTTTTGTTTGCTAAAGAGCGTACGTTGATGATTTCTAACGTAGTAAAACTAGATAAACAACAAGACAACAGAAGTCATGGTAAACACAGCCAGCCGATCTGAAATAAATACGCAGCTGAATATAGATTGAATCTAATTTCCCACTTCAAAATTCTTATTCAAAAGGAAAATTACGCAGCTGAATATATTATGTTATTAAAACGCATATTTTGATGCTACTAAAGAATCTATAGTGCATCTATATATCCCTGTCAATCATGGATATTTGCCTCGTTTTTATCTTGAAAAAAACACAACCATGATGACATGTTAGGCACATTATGCCTAAGTGCAAAGAATGCGACAAATAGAAATAGAGATGTAGAAAAAGACCCACCACAAATTTCTTTCAATTTATACATCATCAAAAACAATTCACATCTCAAAAGATACCCCCTCCTCCTTCACCTCCAATATGAAAATGAACTTTGATATTTGACAATAACAAAAACAATAATAATAAATAATAATTTAAAAAAACACAGAGTATACATACATAATATATATGATTTTGATCCCATATAATACCCCATAACAATTTCATAAGAAAAAGGCATTCCTAGTTGTCAAAATTCATGTTTAAGCAGAAGACTTGGTTTTCAAGCGATACAAGAGCTTCTTCTTCTTGGAGCTTGGATTGTCAATGGTGAGAACCACTTTCCCAGGCTCACCAATCTCAAAACTATTACAAACCACTGGCTCTTCCGATGAAGCCACTTTTCTAGCCTTCTGAATAATCACTGTGTAGCTTCCTTCAGCACTTGGCACGAACTCTGCTCCGTAGCTTACATCCCACCCTATCACTCTCAGCTCCCAAGACAGAAGGCATTTCTGCAAGCTCTCCCAAAAACAACAAATTCCATTAATGATAACGACAACCAAATAATAATAATAATAATAACAATAACAACAGGTTAAATCAACATCAAAAACTTCTTTTTGGCATTAAACTAAGATATTTGACAAAGTTTACATTCAACTCACTTTGTTTATATCAACCGAGCTAATCAGTTTATCAGAAAGCCGGGACTGCTTTGGCTCTTAGCTATTAAGAACTAGATGAAATAAATCCGGCAGTGCCGGACATATATGGCCGCAGAAACGACAAAAGGAAGCTGCGGCTTTCGAGTTTATATGTTTATTTATTTAATTATATTCCAGTTAGATTATAGGAATAAGTTATTTCTTCTCAGAGCATAGTTTTGCTCAGCATGTTGGTTCGAGCATGTGAAATAAACGAAGGGTGAATTACACAATTTGTCTCTCGTGGACAGAGGAATCCTAAGAAAGATACCATTCCGATGCGTCCGTCGTTCATTGGATTCTCAAAAAATCAAACAGTGGCGATGAAAACGAAACGCACCTCATTGACCGGAAATTCTATAGTATGCTTTCCTGCTGGCTTAACGGTAACTTCAGTGACAGCATCAGTATTGCCGAACTCCCCATCTTTGCTTAGTCCTCCATACTTCACCGGAAGTTGCTCCGGGGCTATGTATCTGCGCAAGTCCGGGGAGCAAATTTAGTTGAAATCTCTAACTAATGTAATTCAAGAAACAAACAAATTTTAAGTCTTTGAAATATTACCTCAAGAGGGTCTCTGCAGATTTGGAAGGCCCCGCAAATACAAACTTGCTCTTGGTTCTCTGAGTGAGAAAAGGGCTTATCATCCTGTTCACTGCCAGGTACCACCATGGCACATTGACGAAAATCTGCCGCGTGATAGATTTTGAGATTAAGTTACACACTCGTTATCCATTCACTGAACTGATCAATGCAGGAGAAATTCAAAAGTAGTACCTGTTTGGCCACGAATTCAGGATAGTTGTCCTGGAGCAAATGAAGGGCCTGTTTGGTGGCTTGTCTTAGTTCCCATTTACCAGGTCCAGGAGAATTCTTCAGATCATTAATCTGCACAATGGTGGACACGCTACCGGGAGTGAAATCCAACTTGCGAATACTCCTTTCCAGAAACTGAATTCTCCATCTCAGGAAATTGAGCCTCCTTTCCTCATCGGAAAACGCCTTCTTGTAAAGCTCCTTGTTCTGGAATTCGCCATAGATGTTGTAACACACGGGGTGGCCTTCCTTATCTAACCCATGCATGAATACCGCCTTCTCCAAATCGTCGCTCAAGTTTTCTTCCATCAATTTGTCGATTCCGAACTCTTTTCTCCAGAGAATTGTGTTCTTGATCATAGTGAACGCATCTTTCACTTTGAAATCTCTTGCACGCAGAAATTTCAAGAGAATAACATCGCTCCTCTCGTCAGCAAGCAGCGGTATCCCCCAAACGGACACTTCTTGCGGCGGAGGTGGTAGCGGAGTTTCGTCTTTGGTCTCCTTGGTCTCTGGCTCCGCTAGCGGAGGAATGGCTGCGCCCTCTGACTCCTTGGCCGCCAGCGGCTCCTCCGCAGGAACAGCAGAAGAAACCGCCACCACGCTCTCTTCAATGGCTTCCACGGTTTTCGCTCCGTCGTCATCAACAGCAGGAGAGACCGTTTTGTCATCAACCGCGGTGGAATCCACGACCTCCTGCGATGCGGTCTCCTTCTTGTCTTCTTGTCGATCCTCTGTTTTGGTGGGGTCCGCAGTTTCCGCAGGCTTTTCCTGAATGGGCTCTTGCGTCTTGCTGTCATCGTCGTTGAAAGGAGCAGCGGGCGCAGGCTCAGGCTTATCGTCTTTAGGAGGCTCAAGCGGGTTGGGAGGGGCAGAGAAGTCGTGCTTGTTAAGGGCATGTTGGACGAGCTGCTTGAGCTCTTGGAGAGCCTTTTTCTCGTGATCAGAAAGGTCAGCAACTCTAGTACTCTCTTCCTTAAAGGAACCAGATTCAGGCATTTTGTCGTCACCCTCACTTCCGGGCTTCGACACCTCAGTTTCGGCGGTCTCCTCGACCGGCTTCAAGGGCGCAGCGTCGAGCACAGACTGGGGATCCTTGTCGACGGTCTTCTCGGGCTGAGGAACATCCTTGAGCACCACTTCCTGGACCTGCACAGATGCCTCCTGGGTAGCAGGGTTGGCAGCATCGTCGGCCATGGTGGATGACGGCGTATAACAACAACCAAGGAAAACTAGGAAGGGCTCTGGGGAGGGGAAGGGAAGGGATGAAAATGCGGAAGGAAGAGAGGAAGCAGGAGAAGATGATTTGGGAAACAAATGGGGGAGTTATATAAGGAGATGCTGGGGGGGGTGTTGTGCCGGTGTGGGTGACGGGGAATGAGCAATGAGACAGAGAGAAAGAGAGAGAAGGGATGAGTGCAGGACCATAACGGGAAGGGGCCAGTGGAATTATAAGAAACGAGGAGTTACGTGGGACCCCCCATTTCAAGCCCAGCATTACACATCATAGAAAGGTGGCATTGGGTGACGCCGTTATTTGCACTAATTATCGGCGCTTTTGCCGGCCTCATCATTCCTCCTCTAACACCAACACTCGCATTAGCACTGTCAACTTGGCATTCCCCCACCTCACCTTCGCCGGGTCCCTTCCTCTCTCCTTTTTCATTTTTAAAAAAAATCAGGAACGGCCCTTTTTTCGACCTCGCCGGGGGGGGGGGGGAATGGAGTTCCCAACGGGAACGCCCCATAAACCAATTTTTAAACCCAAAAAAAAAAAAGAAAGAAAGAAAGAAAGAGAAAAGAGGAGTGGGTTTGGCCGTTTACAGTTCCGCAGGGAAGAACGTTGAGGCTTTTAATTGTTGGGACAGTCACCTAGGATGCGTGACAAATTAGTTGTCTTTTTCCTCGTGACTGAGACCGCCTAGCTGTGCCTGACATTTTAGACCGTTAAAACAGTTTCCCCCCAGGCCCACCGGTGGCACTGACCGAGTCATCCATGGGCCCCCGGCATTGTTGGGCTCTCATTTTGCATGTGGGCTTCACGTAGTCAGGCCCAAATCCTATCGGACTAGGGCTGTGTAATTTTGGATAGGGCCCAATTGAAAGATTGTGGATAAGGGCAGACATGGGGCGTGAGGTCCCCTTCAAAGGGGCGGGTTTGGGGGCAAAACGTGGTGATGAGGAAGCACGTAGCGTGGCACTGTCGGGTGTTTTTTTTTTTTTTTTAAGTCTATCTCGTCTCTTTCTCTATTTGTGAAGACGTTAATGAAGATGAAGGGTTTGAAAAGGAACAAGTGTGAAATGTAAATAAGAAGGGAAGGAGGGAAGTGGCAGTGGAGTGGGATTAAAAGGACAGGAAGTATGGACAGGAGGCAGATGAGTGGGATCAGCCGACAGGGTTTGACAGAGGAAGAGCATTCCAACTTTTGATTTCAATTATTGGAGGCCTCTCCCTCACTGCCAGGTCACCACCCACTCCCGCCATGCCACTTCACCAAATCAAGTCAAGCTCTGCTGCTTCTTCTCCGTATTCATATTTTCATTCTTCTTCCTTCTTTAAAATAATATAACTTTTCAATTTTCAATTTATTATAATTTAGTTCTTGCGTTCTATTGGTTCGAATCAATAAATTTTAATGACTGAATTGATAATTCAAGAAAATTTTATATTCTCTATTCTTTTTTACTTCTCGACTTGGTTCTCACCGCCTGCAATTTCCATATGGGGTGGGTCGAAGCCTTTGACAGGACAGGGAATGAAAAAAAAAAAAAAAAAGCAGGAAGTCAAAAGGGCAGGATATACCTTGTCAAAAGGCCAATCACGAAGTCAGAGGCAGACCTCGAGTCCCCCTATCACTACGGCGTTTTTAGAGATCCAATGGCATTCCATCTCAATGCTGAGACTCGGCTGAGTCGACTCCAAACCAAAACCAAAATTCCATTCCCCGAGCAACCCAGGAAGGAACTCGCTGGATTCAACCAGGTCCGGGCTCCTCCTACATTCTGATTTTTCTTTTTCCACAATTTTCTAATCCTTTCTCTCACCTCGCTTCCACGTGCTCACTCTCCTCCCCCGCTCCCCTCACTCCGAGTCCCATAAATTCCCCATTCCCCTTCCTTCTCTGTAGCCCCGCCAACGTCCTGATTTCGGAACGGGCTTGATCGCCTATTCAGACGAATCCTCCCTAATTGGTGCGATTGCTCCGCTTGACGAAATACCGCCGGAGATTGGACGGTATGGATAAGTACGAGGAGGTGAAGGATTTGGGAGCCGGCAATTTTGGGGTGGCAAGGCTTATGAGAAACAAGGAGACCAAGGAGCTAGTCGCCATGAAATATATCGAGCGTGGCCACAAGGTTTGTTGATGTTATCATCATCATCATCACTGTGTTTGACTACTTGCCAGAAAATAATAGTTTTAACGAATCCTTTAAGTGTCAGATTTATCGCGGTTATGTTGCATTTGGAGGTTCGGAATGACGAAGGACTTTATGCATTCTGACGATTAGCTTAGGATCCCCTGATGTGGGAGTTCTGGTTTTGTATCAATTTGACAGGGTCTTGTTTCATGAAGAAAAATTAACAAATTTCGCTAGTCTTAGCGATCAAGCAGTACAGGTGTTCATGATCATAATTCAATGTTGGGACTTGACGAATGAGAAGTCCCTTTCTCGAGACATGTGATTCTAAATAGTTTCTATTTTCAATCCCAGATTGATGAGAACGTGGCCAGAGAGATTATGAACCACAGGTCCCTTCGACACCCCAACATAATTCGATTCAAGGAGGCAAGTACTTTAGTTATTAATATTGACCTGCTGAATCAATTTTCACTTGCGGTGTAATGCTGCCTTTTAATATACTTATTTCAATCGGATTCATATTTTTCAGGTCATTTTGACCCCCACACATCTGGCAATAGTAATGGAGTATGCGGCTGGAGGAGAACTATTTGAGAGGATTTGCAATGCTGGAAGATTCAGTGAAGACGAGGTTAATAAGTTGACATACTCTGAGAATCTCTTGCTTTTAGTGTTATTACTATTGTTTTTGTTATCTCTCATTTTGTTTCTTTGACTTTTCAGGCTAGATATTTCTTTCAGCAGCTGATATCTGGTGTCAATTTCTGTCACGCCATGGTATATACTTATCTTCACTTCCCAAGTTTACCAAAAAAATATGGCCTCTTCTCAAAGTTTTCAGAAACGCTCAAAATGAGAACTTGTGTTTCCACTCTTGTTCTGCAGCAAATATGCCACAGAGATTTAAAGCTTGAAAATACCCTCTTGGATGGAAGTCCTGCTCCTCGCTTGAAAATTTGCGATTTTGGTTATTCCAAGGTATTGGGAATATCAATATCTTCAAATTCGAAGGTTATGACTCTGTCCACTTTGGTGACAAATTTATAGTTAGTTGAGTGCTATATTGTATGTGGTTTAGTCATCTTTGCTGCATTCAAGACCCAAGTCTACCGTTGGAACTCCAGCTTATATAGCACCCGAAGTTCTTTCTAGGCGCGAATATGATGGCAAGGTAATATAACTTTCAGATTTCCTTGGTTCTGCTTCATATATATTGCATTTAACTACACCTGTCCTGCCTGCTGAATATTATCGGTAGCTTTTAGGTGTTCCAAGGTATATATTAATAATTAGCGAACTTTTTTAAAATTTTATAATGATGTTTCGCTTCTTATCTTGACTCAGTTGGCTGATGTGTGGTCATGTGGGGTGACTCTTTATGTCATGCTTGTTGGAGCATATCCCTTTGAGGACCAGGATGACCCTAGGAATTTCCGGAAAACAATCCAGGTGTTTATTTATCTTTTTCAATGTCGCTTCCGGGTTTTTTTTTTGTTCCTGAGATTTTTTCTCACGCCAATTGTATATCTCTCTTTCCTCTTGTTCTTTTCTTCAGCGAATAATGGCTGTTCAATACAAAATCCCAGATTATGTTCACATATCTCAAGATTGCAGGCACCTCCTCTCTCGCATATTCGTGGCTAATCCGTTGAGGGTATGTTACAAAATTTTATGATATGCCTAGTGACTAAAATATTGCAGATAATCTCAATATAAGAGAGTGACAGAATTATGGAAGTGGGTATATAATTTACTCTCATTTTATCCCTTCTTTATTTTATCAAAATGCGTGTAATACATTTATTTTCTAAATAGCGAGACAATGGATCCATATCCTGTCTTTGGAAGAATGATTTTGGTCTTCTGTATCACCTTCCACTGCCCTTCATCTTCCCTTGCGGAGGATTATCTAGAAGCTTCAGGGCATGGAGAAAAAACTAATGAGTATCGGGTCAATGATGAGCTTGCGGTTTCCACCAAGCAAGATACTTTGCAACATAAAATTATTTGCATTTTTGAAATAAGCGATTTAGGAGTTCATATGGAGCTTAACTGACAGGCCACTCTCATTGTCGGTTTCAGAGAATAACTATCAAGGAAATTAAGATCCACCCATGGTTTCTAAAGAACCTTCCGAGGGAACTAACTGAATCAGCGCAGGCAGTCTATTACCAGAGAGACAATCCAAGCTTTTATGCTCAGAGTGTGGAGGAAATAATGAGAATTGTTGGGGAAGCAAGAAGCCCACCTCCAGTATCCAGGCCCATCAAAGGTTTTGGTTGGGAAGGTGAAGAAGAAGGAGCGGAAGATGATGTGGAGGAAGAAGAGGATGAAGAAGATGAGTACGACAAGAGGGTGAAGGAGGTTCACGCAAGCGGAGAATTTCAAGTCAGTTGAGCCACACAATTCTTATGCACTAGTTGAAAGCATTAAAATTGCATGCCAGTTAAGTACCTATTTAGATGTATCATAATTTCATAAAGTCTAATAATATAAACGTGAAATAGGCTAACTTAATGGCTATGTTCATGTACTGTCTACTTGCTTCGGCCATCGATTCCATGCTTGAGCTGTCTTGTCCTGTTACGGTCAACGTTTACTCCTATTTCTGTAGCAGATGGCCAAATGTTCTTTCGTATTCTGCGTTTCTGCTGACTTGGTTGCTGTAAGATTTAAAACAACAGAACAATACATGTAGATATTGACAGTGAACTGTGAAAAAGAATGCATGCACCTAGTAAAAGCTTTGGCATTTGTGTAGATTGGTCCTTTGGGAATTGGGAACATAGTCCTCGTCTTGGCAGGTAGATCTGAGATTTCGAACTAGCTGCTCTCTCTCTCTCTCTCTCTCTCTCTCTCTCATATTTTACAAAAGAAGCTAACGGTTGAAAAAAGCAAACAGCAATAAAATTACAGCAATTCAGGCACTAATTGCCTTATCCTCCAGCACAGCTTGAACAGAGCCTGGAGGAATATTAAGGAAAATAGTTGTGTTATTACTAGATCTATGTCCAGCCTTCGTCAAAATGTCCGCACAGTGGATGCTTTCTCTGCAACTGAAATGCAACTCTAAATCCCAATAATCGTAGATAAGATCCCTGGTCGGATTGATGATCTCTCTAAACCGATGATCTTGGCCACTATATCTGAACACTAAATTAAGAGCTTCTAATGAATCAGAACATAACTGAATTGTGTTAAAGCCTCGATTCTTACAAATCTCCAGAACAGTTTTAATCGCTTGAAGTTCAGCAGCATGAACTGGTAGTGTGTAACCTACGCCGAAATCCCAGCATCCAATCCCCATTGTGGCCTCTGGCTACACCACCACAAGCCGCATTTTTGGAGGAAGTGACTGACGCATCAACGTCCATCCGAACACATCGTGGGGGTGGTCTAATCCATCCTGTGTTCCTGGTAGTGGTGCCCTGAAAGATTGCATGTTTGTATACATCCATATTGGCATTCTCCGTCAGAAGAAAAGTACTGGTATGAACAATATGGTTTGCTGAAACTTGTACTCCCTCAAATAAGCGCTTGCATCTGACTTCTTATAGGGTCCAGCAAATAGTTGCAAAAAACTTTAAGAGATCATGCTTTGACCTGCCTTGTTTTTTAATGTTCAACTTGCTGTGCTCCTGGGCAACAATGACCTCTTTATCCGGAGCATTCATGAGAATGAATAATTTAAATAATACTTTCTCCCATTCTATTTATAAATCATTTTTATTAATTTCATTAATGTCAATATAACAAAAATACAATAAATAAAAGTAAGTGAAATTTTAAATATAACCTCAAATAAAAAGTAAAAAATAAACAAATAATATAATATTATTTTTTATTTTTCTCTTTCTTACTTTTTAAGATAGGTTGAGAATTTTAATTTAAAATAAAATAATCCTATCAACTAATAACTTATAAAGTAAACCAAATTATGTTTTTAAAAGGTGATTAATGCACAGGACTAAATGAATGCACATATAACTTTTTTCTTTTCTTTCTTTTTTTTATTTAGAGAAACTAACGATCATCTTCTTTTGTATCATAAATTCAATATTTGGATTTAAGTCAAATTATTTTTTGTAAATAATTATTCTGTCTATAAAAAAATTATTTTACTCTTGAACTTTTTATTTATAATATAATTGGTTCCCGCAAAACAAAGGATACAAGCACGTGACTTCAGAGCCGAAAGACGTAACAAACAAAAATAATTACAAACGAAGATACAGTCAAGGACGTAAAGAGATAATATGCAGCACTAGCACCCTATAAAGTGTAAAAGAAAAAAAAAAATTTTTGATTCCTACACCTTGTTTGTATTTTATTATAAACTCCTACACTTTTTTTTTATATTTTAAATTCTTACACTTTTATTTTTCAGTACTTTACGTTTATTTAAAATTTCTATATTTTGTTTATTTAAGAATAAAAATATTGAAAAAAGTGCAAGAACTTATAACAAAATACGAAGAAAACAATCAAAAGGAATAGTTTATCCAACCAAAATTACCAAACCTGCACTCGAGAACTGAGAAGTACAAACCGTAGGAAAGACACACAGACTGGAATGCTTACGAGCTCAAGAAGTTTTGTTGTTCGTTTTTTCCTTTCCCACTTCACATTGTGAACCCACCATGGAGAAGCAGCCTAAAACAGAAATCTTAAAATCCTCGTAACTAAAACTCCAAAACCCACTTCGAAAGATAAAAAAGGTCAACGGAAGCAGAGCAGGGCCTCTCGTTCGCATATCAGTCACTGGAATCAAAGCTTCCGCTGTGGGAGTGGCTGCCATTACGACTGTGCAGGGAGAGGCCCTCCATGTGGGCAGCCAAAGCAGAACCATCCATCTTGTTCTTCTGGAAAAATCTCTCCCTCTCAATGTGCTTTGCAGGTGGGGGAGGAATTGCGACACGAGCATGATTTGCGTTTGGAACTGAATTTACAGCAGGTGAAGAACGAATATCAGCCTCTCGAGATGGCTCCAAAGAGAGTGGTCTTATAAGTGGACGATTCAATCTTTCCTCAAGCACGCTCAAAGGAGGTAACTCGGATGCAGTCTGTTCATTTTCAGGCCTTGCACAAGCCTTTCCTTTGCGTAATCTTCAAGGAATTATCAGAGAGATGAAATTTTCAAAAGCAAGTGTTTAAAAGTCAATAATAACAGCGGGTTTAAAAGAGCAGGTAATGTACCTTCGGAATAACTGTTCAGCCTCCTCTTCCTCTTCGACTGCTTCATGTTCAAGGCGATTAGCAGTTGTTGTAATAGCTCTGCCTGACAGAAGTTCGTCATGCCTAGAAAGAACTTTCTGAAGCTGCTCGTTTAATTCAATTGCTTGAGAAATTATTCTTTCATCACTACAAAAGAAATTTAAAGCAAACGGGCATTACAATCCATCCCTGGAACCGTTTTGAATCCAGAAAGGAGAGGACAGAAGAAATATAAAGGCCTAAAGCACAAAAGAGAAATTTAAGACAGCCTCACCGAGAACTCATCACAAGATGCATTACCCTTTGCTTCTGAAATGAACATTGTTCCACAAGGTCAAGGGTGAACTCATCCCTTGCTCCCTAAAACGACACAACATACTTTCAGATTATCAGCACATGGTGATGTGTCTTTATTCACTGGATCGAAAAATACATTTTAAGAAAATACTACTACATAAGCAACATTTAAAGATTATCATACACCGCTGACAAATTCCTTCCTACAGCAGCTCAACGTCTCAATACTTTTAGATGGTCTACAATCTTGAAGATATCTCCTTGTGTTGTTTTTTAAAATGTAAAAGCCTACTGCTAAACCTTTCGTGACGTTATCGTGAATTTTTACAAAAATGGTGCCGTTAAGGAAAACGTGTCTGGATATTTTCACTACAACTTTAACGAACATCACGCATGTAGGTGTTTGTGTAGAATACTCTCTTTCTTGGTCTGGCAATCTGGCCCAGGATTTACTATGCTGAAATCTTGAATGTTCACCAATGAGTGATACCAGAAGGTCAAGCTCCACATCAGAAATTTCTTATCCGAAAACACTCGTGAGTTTTTCACTTTTATCTTTATTCCTATAGACAAGCTGATAACTTGAGACAAAAATATCGCTCATTATAAGATTATTGCTACCAAACAACTAAACTGTCCATACCAAGGACCCAAAAAACAGATAAAAGAAGTTTAGCCTTTTCACAAAAAAAGTATATAGACGCATGTCAGTGCAATCTTATATTTATTTTAAATCGAGAAAAAAAAATGTGAATCATGTTCTTGGAAGTTGGAATGCCAAATTCTGGTTCCAGCTAAGTAGATTCTTAACGTACCTCAGGATGCTGAGTATCAACAGCATCAAGGACTTCTTTTAGAACTTCAAATGCATTGCTAGCCTTTTGAATAATGCTGCAAAAAATACCTGCAGAATTAAGATATTTCCTCTACCAGAAAAAGATAAGACGATAAGAATACATTTTCTAGGCAGTTCACTAGACCCACATCAATCAATGTCCGTTTTCAATTTATCAATTAGCAGAAAAAGGATCATAATTGGATTTGACCTTTATCTCTTTTTGAGTCATTTTACTTAACCTAAAACAGTACGTTTGGCTATATCGTATTATTTATCCACACTGCCCCTGAAAAAGAAAAACCTTCACATCATAACATATTCGTTTAGATATTTCAGCGGTTTCTTAACCAGATGTGTCTTGAGTGTATAGCGGAAAAATAATGAGAACAACATCCAATATGGCTCCTAAAGATCCAGGGCAACATAAGCATAAACCATAAAGTACATAATAATAAATAAATAAATAAAAGCAAAGTCACCTAGATTCAGGGACATCCTGAGACTCTGCCTGCTGAGCAATCCCTTCAACTCTAGGTGAGTCCTGCTCCCCATTCAGTACGCTCGGTTGAGAACTGGCATGATTTGATTGGACCAGATGAGCACTTTGAGGGAACTGCACACCAGCACTCTGTAAAACATAGACAAATGTAGTAATTGTGTTTAGCTTCAGCATTAGCATTTAAAGGATGTAGAAGAAAATAATATCAACAATGGAAAAAAAAAGTGCTCCCATTTAAATACTTTGCCGAAGGTGAAGGTTGTCTTTAATCTGGGTAACAAGATATTTTAAAAAAAAAAAATTGCATGGCCACGGCCAGAACTGTGCAAAGAAAAAGAAGACTATTTTTAAGTCAGTAAATAAAACATTCCTGCACCCTAAAGTTGGATCATTAAAGGGTAACAAGATATCTGTTGGAACAGTTTTATTAGCAGGAGAGAGAGAGAGCTGGTGGACTAAAGGGTCCTGAAAGTCTCATGTTTAGCATATTAGCAGACCATCTGCCGGATATGGGACAAATAAGCCACTATCAGTTGCCATCAGTATTGCCTCATTTTCAAAAACTAGCAAGATCCTAACAATAAAACATCATAAATAAAACTGTAACCATTTTGATATCATTTGACTCACCATTACCATAATGCAGATCATGTAGTAGATGCAATTTTTGACTCGGACTGATTAATGTGTACTATATCAGTTTCATCTACCTATGATTTCGAGGCCAAAAACACATCTACCTATGATTTCATCTAGGAAAGCAAAAGTTTATATACAACTTTTTTTTTTTTTAATTCTCAGTATCATATTTGTGAAGAACCTCACTTATGTCTTCCCATGCCACCAGCAGCCTAGCTACCATCTGATAGTCAAATTCCAGAATCTACATCAACCGATAAGAATGCTAGAAATTTGTTTTGCATATCTGCACCTACCACCAAATCATAATATGCATGATAATACTGGGGAAACTTTCCAGAAGCACCACCAAGGGATGTTTGTGTGGCATCTAGCAGGAGAAATATCCGCTCTCGTACTGGAAAATCTGACTGCAATTAAAGAAAAAGGACAAAATCATTGCAAGGTTCTAAAAAATATTAAAATCACTGAAGGAAATAGCCTGTTACTGATTAATTCTGACCTTTTTCTTCACAATTTTCACGAGAATGGGAATAATTCCCATATCAATCACTTGCTTATGAATATGATCTCCAATATTGTTCATCAACATTTCCAACAGCTAGAAAATTAACAAAGAAATGGCTTAGTAAGAAATCATAGAGCACGGAAGCATGAAGCATAAACGTTCAGTTGGAGAATCGTCATGTAACCAAGCTTCTCAGGTTCAGTTGTGGCTCAAACTATGTAGCAGTAAACTCTGATTTTTCATAATGTTAGTGTATAGGCAAACTGCTTAGAAAATCCACAAGAAATATGACAACCAAGGGCCTGTTTTGGTAACCCTTAAAAGTACATCCAAACCACATCTGAGATGTGCTTTTGCCAAATCTAATAAATAGTTGAACCTTCCAAATGTACTTTTTTCAAATGTAAACTGAAATTCAAACAGGCACCAAATATATGGAAGTTATTATACTTACCATGACTGCATAAAGTTGAGCATTGGGGCTTTTGCTACTCAGTCTTTTTTTGACAGCCTTAACAACATCTCTGGCTTGCCTTCATGTTCACCAACTATGCAGTTAATAAAGTGGTATTGCTTTGATTATTCTGACACATTAAAGAGCTTATCTATGTTCAAAATCTAGTTAAACACCAGCCAGGACCAGGCACCAGGCAAGTTGAGGTAGTAAACAAAAGTGTTGCTCATCATAGTTAGTATTACAAACTAAGTTAGGCACCAGATATCAGTTGTTTACCATCTTAACCAAAGGCTTCTAATTTAAGAATGTGTTCTGAGAAACAAACAAATTTGAGGAATACATATTTGGGCCCAAGAACTCAGCAACCATTTTGGCATAACATGCTATAATGATCATTTGCAATGGCAAGGATTATCTTTCAATGATAAAATGAACAATCTCAAAACCAATCATAAAAATACGAACAACGTGTATCATTTAGTTTGATGTAATACAATTGGCAATGGCTTCGTAAACACATGCCAGCTATCCATTTCTCTTAGTAATTTTTAAGACACTCATCAATCAGAAAGAAGCAACACGATGCAAAGTGATGAAAACATTGCATGTACCTTTGATCTTGGGCAACTAATTCACAGATTTCAATATTTTTTATCCAATCAATTTCAGCCAGTTTCTCACTTGTTGCAACATTGACGAGCTCTGCAGCCATCTGTCTCCAGATAATCTGAAGATTAATAAAAAAAGTTAGAAGTCACGAAATATTTTAGACGAGGAAACCAGCAAGAAACAAAATGGATGATGGGTATTGCACATCGAGAAGCAAACTTGGGTGGTTTATGAGCTTCTGTCAAAGGGAAGTGAACACAACTTGCAGGAGTTTTTGAAAAAGAGTTATTACTTCATTAACAAACAATACATAACAAAGATCACGCCCAGAACAAATATTTCCCCCCTTTACTTAAGAATACACCATTGTAGACTACTTATCAGTTCAGTTGAGAACCAATACCACATAATCTGAGTTCAAATTTCATCTAATTGTGAAGTGAGCAGTGAAATTGGGGTGTCATATCACGTTAGACTATAAGCGATTATATTTTTTGCTCTCGTTAAGTTGAAGATAGTCGTTCCCGTACATTGCATATACACCAAGTTGCTGTCACAAAATCCTTCGTCATATCTAAAATCACGCTGCATCATACAACAAGTAAATTGACTGTGGTAGAAAAGAGACATACAGTTCTTGGCACACAGGCAGTCCTAAATTGAATGCCAGCATGCAATATTAGCTACCAAAGAATGAAATATGGTTGAGTCACGAACTACCCTGCAACTACCAAAATTCCAAGGCTAGATATTAAGCACTTCACCAAATTTCAAACGTCAACGTAGGGATGTGGCATAAAAGAAGATTAAACAAAAATAAGAATCAGGGATGAAGAAGTCAGTCAAATTCAATTTATATGACAAAAGATAGTCCACTATGTTCTGAGATGAAGATTATTTTGCAGTGTTCGTACTTTCTTCCCTGGTAAGCAAGGATAAACAATTAGGTATCCTTATCAAGCCAATAAAAAATGTAATGTAAACAAAGCTTTTAAACTGGGAGGGAAGAAAGACATTGATCTCAGATCTAAATTAAGACATATCAACAATCCTACAAGAGACATGATTCCAATTAGATATACGAGTTCAGGAGGCTTAATTCCTCAGAAACCAGAAGTTCCGTTCATTACAGGGAGATTTGATTTATGGCCAAATAAGTATCAGAAGATTTGATAGAGAGAAATTTACTGTAAAAACAGAAAACGGAAGACAAGCGAAAACGATGATGTACCTGCAAAGACGGATAAAACGACAGAGACCACGAGAAAGAAGCCGGAGATGCACTGATAAACCCTAAAGAGCTTCAGCATATCAACGGAGAAATGACAAGTAAATGATCAAATGCTGCCCAACCGCAATGAATTCTCTTGCTATATCTTGCTTTTCTTTTCTCTTTTTGGGGCTTGCTTTCAGGGTGCTTTTTCTTTTTCTGAACTTTAACCTTTTTCGAATATGGATTTCTTAATCGGGGAACCAAGTATTTTAGATGTCAGAAACAAATTGTGAGCTTGGAGAACTCCACCAGACAAAGAAGAATACAGATTGCAGAGAGATTGTACAGTTTTGATTAAACATAATACAGAAATATATAATTGAAAACTTGGTTGGAGAGGAATCTAACTAAGGTTGGGTGTTGCAGTTTACTTGTCAAGCAAACAGAAGAAGGGGCACCGCCATGAGTGACTCAAGATGAGGTGTTGATGTGCTGTCCTACTCACTAAAGCTTCTTTTCTAAGCTAAATCTGATATTTATTGTAGAGCCATCCTCGTTCTCATCACACACACCACTGTTCATTGCTTTCCTTTTCAAGCCAACTAGCTGTGAGGATTACAATAGGTGAACCGGTGAAGACAGATTACAGTGAAAAGCCATGCTTCTCTCTTGATGAATATTCAGGCAGAAAAAACTGTGCTTTTTTTAACTGACAAGAAAATAAACTATATCCTAGGTAGGAACAAAATTTTAGGCAGATAACTATATGATTATACAGGAGGGAGAGGATAATACAATCTGTATAGTGTATACTACTGCTAGAAATTCGCGTATAAGGTGTTGGATAAAACTGATTAAGAATTTTTATTAATATTGTCTGAAGAAGAACATCGAAATCAAGCTGCCGGTGATGACGACCAACAGAGAATATAGGTGCAAGCTGGCCAGAAAATTCGCCATGCATTTTTTTTTTTTTTTATGCGTTTGGAAATGAGAAACCCGTTGCCGTGAAAATGTATTTTGTTGGGTGTCCGGGAATAAAGAATCATTAATAAACTGAGGATACCGTTAACAATTACACCCTCCTACTAAAATATAGGATATTAGAAATTAATTCATAATTTTTAAAAAATATTTAATTAAAAATTTAATTTTTTTAAAAAATTTATATCTTTATACTCTCATTAAATACTTTATATAAGTATTTTAGTAATAATAATTAAAATTTTACTATATTATTTTTTTTAAAAGAAATAATAAATGAAATAGGAATATAATTAAAAAATAATTATAAAAATTATTTAATATTCTATACTTTGAATTAAATAAAAATTTTAAGAGATATAATATATTGTTGTATGAGGAGTAATATTTAGCAGTATATTTCTATTGCATTTTTATTAAAAAAATATTAATCATTTAACTCTTGTAGTTTTAATTTAGTTGTAATTCAGTTTCTAAACTTTAACTCATTATAATTTAGTCTTTAAATTTTTAACTTGATTATAAATTAATTCCTGAACTTTGTTTCTTGTAATTTAATTCCTGAAGTTTTAAACTCTTAAATATTTATTCTTATATTTTTAAAAAATAAAATTAAAAGGATTAATTTTTTAAATTTATTACTAATATTTTAAACTATTAAACTTTTTTAATCTTTATAAATATTTAAAATTTTAAACTATTTTTAATTTTTTATAATTTTATTTTTTAAAATATAAAAACTAATATTTAAGAGGTTGATTAAAATTTCAGAGATTAAATAACAAGAAAAAATTTAAAAATTAATTTATAATTAAGTTAAATTTTAGAGATTAAATTATAACGAGTTAAAATTTAGAGAATAAGTTATAATTAAATTAAAATTATAAATATTAAATAATTAATTCTTTTATTAAATTATTGTAAACACGTGTCATGGCTTACAGAGAGACAAGAAGAGCTATGCTATGCCCCCGCAACATATGTTATAAACTTAGCACTATTTTTCATTTATTTGGTCATGCCTTTTCTTCTTACAACATAAAAATGTCCTCAGTTTCGATGTATTTGTCTGGGAATTCAGTTTTTTTTTTTATTTTCTCTGGATTTGAGAAAGCAGATTGATCAATGAACCAATATAACTTAAATCATATTCTTTACCGTTTCACTATTCTTGTGAGGCTGAGTTTTTTTTTTAAAAAAAAAATTCTCTTCATGTTATGCTCCGCTCGGTGCAGTAAAACTGCTTAAGCATATTATGAAGAAAAATAACAATCATACGGGAAAATTAATTGACTTGCCAGAATCACAATAGCAATCGAATCTAAATGAAGAATTTCTTTAAAGATATAATTTGGTACCTCAAACTCGTGTCAGATCAATTAGGAATTTAGGATCGAGGCTGATGAAATCGTGGCCAAGCAAGCCGTGATGCCCAGTCATTTCCACTCACTCAATCTATCATAAAGCAGATATTCCATCTATTTTTAAACATAGAAAAATAATTAATTAATACATTTTAAAAAATTGATTAAGTATAATGATTGTGTCCGAAATTAAATAAAATTACTCCTGTAATTAATAGAACAAAACTTGTTTAGTAAAAATAAGCATTGACTTTAGAAGGAATAATTTAAAAAACATGATGAATATTTTTTAAAATTGTAATTTTTCTTATAAACAGAGAAATGCAGCTATATTAAGTACTTATTGAAAGAGCTTTTATTGCTAATGTAACCTTACCTAACTTCGTCCATAATTAATGAGTAATTGTATAAAAAAAGAAATGCATGATAGTTTATCTTATATTCAAAAATGAAAAAGTACGTTTGTTAGTTTAGTATGCAAAATCTAGAGGGCAAAAAAGGGCAGCGCCATTAATATTAATAATTAATAGTATGCAAATAATAAAATTCAGAGACAAAGTTAAGATTCATATAAATTTTGATTGAAAACACATGATTCCCGGATTTAAATCTCCTGCAATTGGGATTGGTGAATTTAAGTGAAGTTTTATTTTTAAAGTATTTTTCTTCATTTTATTATTTTTTTTATAAAATATAAAATTTTATCTCTCTTTTTCAAAAAGAAAAGCTGCACAAAAATTCATCAATCCCAACTTTAAAGATTTGAAGCCATGACTCCCATACTCTTAAAAAGGGCAAACCGAAAACTTACCCACGAAGGAAAAAAAAAAAGGGAAAAAAAAAAACACACACACACACACATTGATTGCCTTAGCATCCAATGTGGGAGAGCACTGAAGGGTTGGGTCAGCGTGGAGTTCTAGGCCGAACTTGGATTGGGCTTAAATGAAACCACCGTAAAATAAATAAAAGAAAGCGCTTTGAATCTTTGAGGGCGACATGTCACGGCCTTGGAACTCCCTTCCCTTAAACCGTGCCGGCCTTAGCTTGATCCCTCTCTTGATCCTTGCTAAGTCAGCCGAATTCCACAAGTAGGCAAAGAGGCTAAGAGCTAGATGCACAAGTAGAGAGTAAGAGCTTAAGTGAATGAACTTTAAGAGCTTTTACACTAAGCTTGAGTGAGTTACAAATGAGGGATGAGGGGGTATTTATAGGCCTCCCCCTTTCTCTAGAAAATTCCCACCTCCTTAATGGACGGTTGGGATTGATTCGATCTAACGGTGTACATTCTATCTCCAGATAATTCTATAGAAATATCTACAAGAAATATCTTGATAATTACAAGGAGACTACTAGAATGTACAAGAGCAAGATATCTCTAGAATGGTCTGGATGCTTCAAGTGTTTTCTACACTACTCTAGAGATATCTAGGTCTTTCGAGGACATACCGGCGTATTCCAGAAGACTCCGGGGTGTTCTTGATTGTCCTGGATCGTTTCGAAAACTTCTAGAATATCTTAACCTCATGAAAATTCTATCTTCGTCACATTCTCCCCCACCTATTCGAGTGACGTCCTCGTCACGGCATCATCTCTATAAGATCGAAGTAGTTCTTCAAATTGCAAAAGATCTCTTTGAGATTCCCATGTTGCTTCACTCTCTGGCAATCCCTTCCACTTGATCAAGTATTGTGTGTCTGGTGGCACACCTCTTTTCCGCACAACTCGGTGGTTAAGTATTTCTTCAAGTCCTCGATCATATGCTTCAGTGATGGTCGGTGGGGCACGTGATGATGTTCCTCGCGTCGGGTCGTCCTGATCTTCATGATAGGGTTTCAACATGCTAACATGAAAGACAGGATGAATCTTTAAATTAGTAGGGAGATCCAATTTATATGAGACTTTCCCTACCTTCTTGATTACCTTATAAGGACCTTCATATTTGCGAATGAGGCCCTTGTGTACTGATCTGAAGGCTTTGAATTGTTGTGGGAGAAGTTTCACCATTACCATGTCTCCCACTTGGAATTCTATTGCACGCCTCCGTTTGTCTGCAAATTTCTTCATCTTCTTGGCAGCCTTCTCGAGGAATGATCTTGTTTCATCTGCCCGTTCCTGCCAAGACTTAGCCATGTTAAAAGCTCCAGGGCTCTTACCTTTATAGGAGATTGCTAGGGCATGTGGGGTGATCGGTTGTTGTCCCATCACAATCTCAAATGGACTCTTCCCTGTCGCCTCGCTTCTTTGTAAGTTGTAAGAGAACTGAGCCACATCAAGCAACTTAGCCCAGTCCTTTTGATTGGCGCTAACAAAGTGCCGCAAATAGCACTCAAGCAAAGCATTCACCCTCTCAGTTTGCCCATCTGTTTGAGGATGAAAGCTAGTTGAGAAGTGTAGCTCTGTCCCCAATAATTTGAATAGTTCTGTCCACAGCTTTCCTGTGAACCTTGGATCTCTGTCACTAACAATAGTTCTAGGAAGGCCCCAATACTTTACCACATTTTTGAAAAACATCCGAGCCGCTTCCTCAGCCGTGCAGTCTGTCGGGGTAGCTATGAAAGTTGCATATTTGGAGAATCGATCTACTACCACCATGATGGATCCAAATCCTTCTGACTTAGGTAATGCTGAGATGAAGTCTAAGGAAACACTTTCCTATGGTTGGCTCGGTGTAGGTAAGGGTTCGAGTAGTCCTCCAGGCAATTGGTTGTCTAACTTGTCTTGTTGGCATACAAGACAAGTCTTCATATAATGTTCCACATCCTCCCTCATGTGAGGCCAATAATAGGCTGCTTCTAACAAAGCTAAAGTTCGCCTCTGACCGGGGTGACCTGCCCATTTAGAGTCGTGACACTCTTTGATAGCTCCTTCCTTAGGTTTGCCCATTTAGGGACATACATGCGCCTTCCCAGAGTGTAAAGGATGTCATCGTCCACCCAGAATCTCTTAGTCTTTCCCTCTTTTGCTAGTTCCATTAGCTGTGGGCTATAGGATCCTGGGCCATTCCTTCCTTAACCTTTTCGACCAAGTCCCCACTGACTTGGGTTAAGGTTGCCAGTTCTGCTTTTCTACTTAGAGCATCAGCAACAACATTAGCTGCTCCTGGCTTATACTCTAACACATAGTCAAACTCAGCCAAGAAGTCTTGTCATCTTGCTTGCTTTGGCGTCAACTTCTTCTGAGTCTGGAAGTAACTATTAGCCACATTGTCCGTCTTGATGATAAACTTTGCCCCTAGCAAATAATGCCTCTAAGTACGCAAGCAATGAATTATGGCCGTCATCTCCTTTTCTTGGACCGTGTATCGCTTCTCGGTATCATTTAGCTTGCGACTTTCAAAGGCAATAGGATGCCTCTCTTGCATTAGGACAC